GAACAGAACAGGCAGACTGACGAAATACACTGCTGAGGGGAGCAGCGGGTGAGACAGGAGAGGTCTGCTGTGCCATGTGGGTTTCTCCCCAGCTGGCCAAGATCGAATCTGTGCTGCAGAGGTTGCAGACAGCTTCACAGTGTGTAGCTCAACCACCTGGCCACCAGGGAGGCCCTGCAATAAGATTTTACCTTAGAAAATATATGGGGTTGGGCTTCCCTGGTGGCACAAGGGATTGAGACATCACCTATGAAGCTATCCACAGCCTCTGCAGCATGAGTTTGATCCCTGGCCAGGAAGCTACCCACATGGCACAGCAGACCTCTCCTGACTCTCCTGCTGCTCCCCTCAGCAGTGTATTTCAGTCAATCTGCCCATTCTGTTCCCCACTCTGTCTCTGGTGAATCCTCTCACCCCCCCAGCTCTTGTATGCATAAATAAATAAAATAAATCTTTAAAAAGATAATAAAAGCATCAGATTAGCAGCTTCCCTGGGTCCTAATGAAAGCCAGTTGGGAAGCTAAAAAGAGTCCTGAATTGAAAAGTTAAAATCTGAAAGACAGCTTGTCCTGGAAAGCAGGGACACCAAAGATATTACTCCCTAGATGCTGACATTTTTCTTAGGGAAATCTAATAAACTTTGGTTATGCCCATAAAGGGGGAGGCAATAAGAGGATGAAATTCCTGGAACTTATTACTGAAACCTACCACTGCCCACAACACACACACACTGGTTGGTGCCTCATTCACCTGTTGCTAGGCCGAATAGCTAATTTAACACCCAGGTGAGTCTGCAGTGGCACAGACTGGTAGGGACAAGTGTCGAGGAGATTGACTTTTCCACTGTTAGATTATTTGCACTCATAATATGAAAGAACAAAAGAAATAGTTACAAAAATCTCTTTATGTATTTTCTAACCTGCTCATAAATGCACCAAATAAGCTACTTAAACCAGTTGGTAGGTTCCAGGCAGAAGCAAAGAACTCAGAAGAGCTGTGAGCAAGGCAGTGGACACAATGGAAAAAAAAAAAAACAAACCCACAATCCAATAACTGCTGTTTTCCAAACTCAGTTTTCATTAGAAATTAAAAATATTGGGGCCTCCCTGGTGGCGCAAGGGGTTAAGACGCAACCTATGAAGCTGTCCGCAGCCTCTGCAGTGCCGGTTCGATCCCAGCCCCAAGGAGATTCCCACATGGCAAAGCGGACCTCTCCTGTCTCGCCCGCTGCTCCCCTCAGCAGTGTATTTCAGTCACTGCCTGTTCTGTTCCCTGCTCTGTCTCTGGTGAATCCTCTCACCCCCTGCATCTCTGGCCTGTACCCCAGCTGTTGTATGCATAAAAAAATAAATCTTTAAAAAAAATAAAGTGCTATCAAACTATCACCAGTTACTGAGGCATGAGTTTGATCTCTGGCCAGGGAGCTAACCCACATGGCACAGCAGACCTCTCCCATCTCACCCGTTGCTCCCCTCAGCATGCATTTCAGTAGATCTGCCTGTCCTGCTCCTCACTCTGTCTCTGGTGAATCCTCTCACTTCCACATCTCTGGCCTACACCCCAGTCCTTGTATGCACAAATAAATAAATAAATAAACCTTTTTAAAAAATGTTTCCTTTGTGGAACCCTCACTACTCCATGACACAATTACTTAGACTCATTTAGTAAGTCTAGTTAATATGATTTATAATAGGCTGTAGATGTAATTATTATTATTATTTAAGGATTTTTTATTTATGCATATAAGAACTGGGGTACAGGCCAGAGGTGTGGGGGCTGAGAGGATTCACCAGAGACAGAGGGGGAACAAAACAGGCAGACTGAAATACACTGTTGAGGGGAGCAACAGGTGAGCCAGGAGAGGTCTGCTGTACCATGTGGGTAGCTCCCTGGCTGGGGATCAAACTAGTGCTGCAGTGGCTGCGGACAGCTCCATAGGTTGTGTCTTAACCCCTTGCGCCACCAGGGAGGCCCTGTAGATCTAATTATTAAGACATTGCTATTCTTTTTGTTAGGGATGACAATGCATGATGGTTATATACAAAATAAAGTCTTTGGGACTCCTTGGTAGCGCAAGGGGTTAAGACGCAACCTATGAAGCTATCTGCCGCCACTGCAGCATGAATTTGATCCCTGGCCAGGGAGCTACCCACACGGTGCAGCAGACCTCTCCTGACTCTCCCAACTGCTCCCCTCACCAGTGTATTTCAGTCAGTCTGCCTGTTCTGATCCCCACTCTGTCTCTGGTGAATCCTCTCACTCCCCCCACCTCTGGCCTGTACCCCAACTCTTGTATGCACACAAATAAAATAAATCTTTTAAAAAAATAAAGTGCTTTTCAGAGTGAGATATGTAATGAAGTGATATGAAGCCTTGGGTTTTCTTTAGGCTATTCTGTCAAAAATAATAACTAGTCAGGGAAAATAAAATAAGACTGATCAACTGTTGAGCTGGATGATGGGTACATAGTGGTTCATTATATTAAACTTGCTTTTTGCATATTTTAAAATTCTGATGATAGAAAGTTAAAAGATGACTTTATTTTTTTTTTATTTTTTATTTTTTTAGATTTATTTATTTATACAAGCACTGGGTACAGTCAGAAGCGCGGGAGGATGAGAGAATTCACCAGAGCCAGAGCGGGGAGCAGAACAGGCAGAAGGAGGACCAAAGTACACTGCTGAGGGGAGCAGTGGGCCAGACAGGAGAGGTCTGTCGAGCCATGTGGGACCCTCGCCTGGTGGCTGGCGGCCGGGGATCGAACTGGCATTGCAGAGGCTGTGGGCAGCTTCGCAGACCAATGCTCAACCGCTGAGTCACCGGGGAGGCCCTAAAGGATGACTTTAAAAGTAGGTTTAAAACACTGTATCACGAACCTCCCTGGTGGTGCAAGGGGTTAAGGCTCAGCACTATCAAGTTATTGCCAGACACTAAGGCATGAGTTCGATTCCAGACAGAGAGCTAACCCACATGGTGCAGCAGACCATTCCTGTCTCCCTTGCTTCTCCCCTTAGCAGTGTATTTCAGTCAATCCGTTTATCCTGCTAACCACTCTGTCTCTGGTGAATCCTCTTACCCCCACACCTCTGACTCATACCCCAGTTCTTGTATGCATAAATAAATAAAAATAAATCTTAAAACATAAAAAGCCAGGTCTCCCTGGTGGTGCAAGGGGTTAGGATGCAACTTATGAAGCCATCCGCAGCCATTGTAGCACAAGTTCGATCCCAGGCCAGGAAGCTACCCATATGGCGCAGCAGACCTCTTCTGACTCACCTGCTGCTCCCCTCAGTGTATTTCAGTCAATCTGCCTATTGTGTTTCCCACTCTGTCTCTGGTGAATCCTCTCACCCCACACCTCTGACCTGTACCCCAGTTCTTGTATGCATAAATAAATAAATCTTTAAAAAATAAAAAAATAAATAAAAATAAAAAGTGTTGTCACACATGACTTTCCTAGGTGATTCCCACACAAAAATGAGGCAAGTCTTAATGCCTACCACTTTGATTCAAAAATACCATCAGTAGGGCCTCCCCGGTGGTGCAGCGGTTGAGCGCTGGGTTGCAAAGCTGCCCGCAGCCTCTGCAGCACCGGTTCGATCCCTGGCTGCTCCCCGGCCACCAGAGGAGAGTCCCACATGGCGAGCAGACCTCTCCTGCCGCCCGCTGCTCCCCTCAGCAGTGTACTTCGGTCCTTCTGCCTGTTCTGCTCCCCGCTCTGGCTCTGATGAATTCTCTCACCCTCCCGTGCTTCTGACTGTACCCAGTGCTTGTATGTATGTATGTATAAATAAATAAATAAATAAATAAATAAATCTTAAAACAAAACAAAACAAAAAAAAAATACCATCAGTTGAAAGATTCACCATTCATTTAATAATAGTTTTTCAGAGAAAAATAAACATGCAACATCAAAAAAAAAACATTTATAAGCTATATTCTCAGTTTTAAAATGGTTGAAAATGTGCCTCAGAATTGAGGTGATATCAGATTGTATTTCTTTGTCATTTGCTAATAGGAATCATTGTTGTTGTTAAAAGGCCAAATTTGAATTAATGGTGTGAAAGTCTCCTTATTTAATTTTTTCCATCATGTTTTATTTTATCACTTACTTTAACCCTTTAATTTGCAAACTTTGACTGAAATAAATCTAGTCTCAGATCAGGAAATATCAGATTAAAAGAGAATATCAGATAAGCAGCTAAACCAGATACTAAACGGACAATATAAATAGGGGTGGACTTCTACTGGACTATACATCACTAGCTCTATTTTTTTTAAAGATTTATTTTTATTTATTTATGCATACAAAAACTGGAGGGGTAGGGCTGAGGTGTGTGTGAGCATGTGTGTGTGTGTGAGAGGATTCACCAGTGACAGAGTGGGGAGCAGAACAGGCAGATCTACTGAAATACACTGCTGAGGGGAGCAGCAGGCAGACAGGAGGGGTCTGCTGTGCCATGTAGATTAGCTCCCTGGCTGGAGATGGAATAGGTGCTGCAGTGGCTGGTGATAGCTTCATAGTGCTGAGACTTGACCCCTTGTGCCACCAAGGAGGCCCTCACTAGCCCTATTTTAATGTTCTATGTTACTAAAAGTAATAAAACTAGGATTATAAATGCCGGATGCACATGTATCTGTGGACCTTAAGCTAATTGGAGTTATTGCCTGTTTCTGACAATCAGCACCACTTCAGGAACATCTTGGGAAGAGGACCTATGTGAGAACACGAAGCCACCCTCATGTTGGACTGAATACTTTGCAGATAAGAAAAGATCTAGAACTAGAAGTCACAGGTTGGGGGGAGTAAGAGATGGTTACATCTGCCAGTGGTTTTCCTGTGTAGCACAGAGGCGTCTAACTTCCCAGCTGGAATTGCCCAGGTCTTATACATGTTTGGGGTGTAAAACAAGTGACATTGGCAGAGAAGGAAAGTCTAGAAGCACAGAGAACCCCAGGCCTGAGCGCGGTGCATGCAGGTGCGGCGCCGGGTTACTTACTGTCTTCCGGCAGGTTGTTTTCTCGCTCCTCTCTCTCCATTTGCTGGCACCAGCCTTCCATGCGGTCTCGCTCTGCCTGGAGAAGCTTCAGAAACCAGTGGCCGTCCCGGTGGCACACTGACCTTTGAACAGCTTCCAGAGGGTCTTCAGTGATCGAGTCAATCCAGGGATCCGGAGGCGGCAGAATCGAGGGGTCAAAATCAGCGTCGAAGTCGTCGTCAGCTGCACAGGCGTGGTAATGGTTTCCTGAGCCCTGGATGCTGACCGTGGAGGTGCTGGCATCCCGGGAGAACTGTCTGGCTATTGGACCGGGACACGAATTGTCCTCTATAGACTCCAGAGAGTTTTCCAGATTATCATGGAAGTCCAGGTCGGCCTGTACTGCTGTTGTCACACTGTTGGATCGAGTGAATCTGCGGAAGCTTGGAGGAAGACAGACAGGGGATTAGTTTAAGGGTATTTCTTGAGCACAACCACATTCTACTGTTCTTCGTGGCTATGACAATGAAGGATCTCATCTCTGCCTTGATGCGTGCATATGGACTACCATAGTGCTAATGAAGAAACACAGATCTCTCATCCGTATTCAGTATGGAGTATTAAAGCATATCTAGAGAAATCTTAGAAGTGGAGCAACATAATTCCTTTCCCTGAGGTTTTCACTTGTCCCTTGATTATATATATATATATATATATATATATATATGTATGTATGAATGTATGTATGTATGTATGTATGTATGTATGTATGTATGTATGTATGAGGGGAGCAGCAGGTGAGTCAGGAGAGGTCTGCTGCGCCATGTGGGTAACTCCTTGGCTGGGGATCGAACTCGTGCTGCAGAGGCTGTGGACAGCTTCATAGGTTGCGTCTTAACCCCTTGCGCCACCAGGAAGGCCCCCTGTCAGTTCATTTTTAACAATATTTCATACTCAACAGTGCCAGCCCTAAAGGATAATGCAATTAAAAAAAAGATCCATACAATGTTTAATAAACAGATTTTTTCCCTCAACTCTCCTCGAACACTCTATTAAAGTCAATTAATACTAATATGTTAGTTCATTGAAAAGAAAGAATGAGCAGAGTAATGCAAGCTTGTAGTTGATTTGCAAGATTGTAGAAAGACTTAGGAGTCATTCAAACAAGAGAGTACAATCATTTCAAAAAATCAATTCCCCTTACTCCCCCCTCCCCCCGGAGAATAAATATCAAGAAAAAGAGTGGCTGCATTTTGATCTAATATATTGTGATTCTGGCCATTCATTTTATGAAGATAACCAATCAAAGCTGGGCCATGTAGATCAGTGTTTGCTGTTTTCAAGAAGTTATTTCTGCTGAAGTTATTATACATGATCATTCTGTAAGTTCTTTAACTCTCAAATGGGCTATTAAAAAAATGCCCAAACACCTAGTGTGAAAATCTGGAAGTATTATTATTGATCTCTTGTAGTATATGGTTCTTCCAACAGCCACCCATTTCTCGGCTGCAGTAGACCATTTCTGCATTCTCCTTGTTCATCCCCCAAATATTCAATGTCATCTCCTGAAGCTGAACTTTCTCTCTACCTGCTTATGTGTGAATTGGATGACTGTCCTTTCAACAATGGACTTTCTGGCTGTTCTACTAACACAAAATCTCAAGTATGAAAACATTAGGCTCCACTCTCTAAGATCATGTATTGCCAGAGGCATTACATTTCCAAACTTAAAGAAATACTAGTGCCTTATTGTTTGTAATCAGTGCAACCTTGCCAGAGACAGAGTGTCTGTCCCACATACAAAATAGAATGACCTATTTTCCCATGCCTCTGTTTTTATCTAGGCAAAACCCTACTACCAGTATTCCTGACAGAGGCTCCTGGCTATGAATCTTGTAAAATATCCACCTTCTTAAGAAGAATTACTTGGCAGTAGATTAATAGACATTTGCAGTTTAGTCACCCAGAAAGAAATAAAAGTTAAGTAAAATTAAAATGGTTTGGGATTAGAAGCGGTGCCTTTGAACTCAGGCAGCCTATCCAGGCTGCACTGTTTCTATCAATTAAGTTCCTTAAGCAAGTGCTTTCTTCTACCCAGAGCTTTCAAAGAATGTTCTGCTCCACAAAACGTTTTATGTCTTTCATGTGCAAAGTTCCTTCTGGGTGAAGGAGACAATCAAGTTGTTATTGTTGTTTCAAGATTTTGATAGGAACACAAAAAAGTCACTGGATTAATTTCTTTATTTTTAAAAAGAATAGATCAGCTGCTGGTTGCTGGTTAAAAACCCCAAAGCTGAACCGGGTGGCTTGCTGTTTCTGAACCCACAATTTCCAGTCTTGAAGCTTCTTCAGTCTTTCATGCCCAGGAGGCACAATATGTAATAATTACAACTTCTGAAAAGCACCAACCAATATTCTGGCCCAGGAGCAGAAAACCATGAAACCAAAGACTGGATCAACCAGTATGGGGCACAATACCCTGTCTGTTCTGAACAGCAAGAGGAAAGTCACTTGTTAGCATTCACCTCTGCCTTGGCTTTGTGCTTCTTCTATGAAACAAGGTAATATTTCTAATTGGAGGATTTTCTGCCTCCCTCCCACGACTCATGTGGATCGTGGTTACAAATCAACACAAAGATGGTAAATCACAGAGGCCCATTCTCGTCTTCCCGTCTGATGGGGCTGGATGTAGTTAAACAAAACAAGTCGTGCACAACAACTAAACGTAGCCATTATCTTTAGAAAGCACATGCTTTGGACCTGCAAGGCATTCAAATCTGTGAGACTCAAGTCATAAACTTATTTTTGGGAGACAAACTCAGTCATTCTGTTACAGAATCGTCTGGCCTCTGGTTATCTTCTTTATCCCTCTTGTTCACATAATGGTTGCTTTTCAGAGCTCAATCTAATTTGAAAGGGGGAAACACTAGTCCTGAGCTTTTTTTCTTCCTTTGTAGAAGCTTTTAGACATTTTTCACTAAGCCTCTGTCAAGGTTGAATATGTTTGGGATCTGAAAATGTTACTATTCAAAAGTGCAACCATCTTGGTATTCTGTGAAATGGCCCCCTTTCACTGATGTAAAATCCAAGATGTGTTATTCTATATAATGAAAGATAGATCAAAAGGAGGGTGGAAGATGAGGAGACTGAGATCAAGCATTAAATTTTCCTAAAAAAATAGGAGCACTCTTTCCTGTTAGATCAGTTTTTCTCTTAGAACTTTGTGTGGAGGAATGTCAGCATAATACCACCCTTGCTCGCAAATTAGGGAAGCAACTCCTTGCTTCCATTTGTATGTGGTTAGCAATGTCCCAGTGAAATTTTAAAACTAACTTAAGATGAGCAATGTTGATTATTTAAAATCCTCCTTGTTCATCCTTCTTTTACCCAAGAGCTCTCTGGGAAAAGCAATAGGTTTCCTCATAAAGATTCTCTACTCTAGGGGCCTCCCTGGTGACGCAAGGGGTTAAGACGCAACATAAGAAGCTATCCACAGCCTCTGCAGCATGAGTTCGATCCCTGGCCAGGGAGCTACCCACATGGCGCAGCAGACCTCTCCTGTTTCACCCGCTGCTCCCCTCAGCAGTGATTTCAGTCAGTCTACCTGTTCTGCTCCTCACACTGTCTCTGGTGAATCCTCTCACCTCCTGCACCTCTGGCCTGTACCGCAGTTGTTGTATGCATAAATAAAAAAAATTCTCTACTCTAAAAAATTGTAATGCATTTGTCAAATAAAAGAAAGAAGGAAGTGGAAATAATGAGAATGGGCTTGTAATTATCTGAGAGCATGTTACCAGCCTGCATGTAGTACCATCTGCAGGTTCTGGTATCCTACCTGGCCTGTCATTGTAGGAACCTTGGGCAGGAGTCTTAACAAAACATCCTTGAGCTGACTGTGCCCCAGAAGGAACTGCTTTCTCTCAGCAGCTGAGCTTTAGGTCATCCTTTGGTTACAGAACTCAGTTAACTAACAAAAGCTGGGGAAGGCTCACTCACAATCCTTTTTATGAGTCTTACTTTGGATTCAGTGAAGTCCATAGGTTTGTGAGTCAGATGGTCATTTTCCTTTTTATAAACTAAGTGGTCTGGGAAAAATGTAAAAGTGAAAGAGGGAAGAGAAAGAGGGAAGAAGGGAAACTGAAAGTCAGAGTAAAGGATAGAAGGAAAAGGAGGGGAAGGAGGTAGAGGAAGGGAGAAGAAGGGAGAGGAGAGGAAGGGAGGATGAAGGGAGCAAGGGAGAAAAGGAAAGAAAAACAAAGCAAAGCATTGGGTCTTCCTGGTGGTGCAAGGGCATAAGACGCAACCCATGAAGCTGTCTGCAGCCTCTGCAGCACGAGTTCGATCCCCAGCCTGCCAGGGGGCTACCCACATGGTGCAGCAGACCTCTCCTGTCTCACCCACTGCTCCCCTCAGCAGTGTATTTCAGTCAGCCTGCCTGTTCTGTTCCCCACTCTGTCTCTGGTGAATCCTCTCACCACCACCACCACCACCACCACCACCACCACCACCACCACCCCCCGCATCTCTGGTCTGTACTGCAACTCTTGTATATATAAGTAAATGAATCTTTTAGAAAAAAGAAAAGAAAAGAAAAGTATTGAGCATATCAGGAATCATGCCAAGTTTCAAGCTTTTGAAATTTGAAACACACAAAGGCCACACCTTTAAAACTCAGGTGTACTACAAGAACTATTTGGCTGGGTCACAGTATTGTTAACTTGGCAAAGAAAAGAGGTTGTTTGCCAAATAAAAGATCAAGGGTAGGAGCTAGGCTATGTAGTGCTCCTAGGAAACCCAGGAGTGGGGATTTATCCAAAGCATCTGTGTTAGCAAAATAGAGATGTTTTTGACTGCCAAAGCCTTCCAAGCTGGTTCCTTAACTGTCTGTCAAAAGATAGTGTCTTGAGGGCCTCCCCGGTGGCACAGCGGTTGAGCACTGGGTTGCAAAGCTGCCCGCAGCCTCTGCAGCGCCAGTTCGATCCCGGGCTGCTCCCTGGCCACTGGAGGAGGGTCCCACATGGCGTGCAGACCTCTCCTGCCGCCCGCTGCTCCCCTCAGCAGTGTACTGTGGTCCTTCTGCCTGCTCTGCTCCCCGCTCTGGCTCTGGTGAATTCTCTCACCCTCCAGTGCTTCTGACTGTACCCAGTGCTTGTATAAATAAATAAATAAATAAATAAATAAATAAATCTTTAAGGGAAAAAAAAAAAAGATAGTGTCTTGGGGCCTCCCTGGTGGCACAAAGGTTAAGATACAACCTATGAAGCAATCTGCAGCCACTGCAGCAAGAGTTTGATTCCTGGCCAGCCAGGGAACAACCCACATGGCATAGCAGACCTCTCCTGACTCGCCCCGCTGCTCCCCTCAGCAGTGTACTTCGGTCATTCTGCCTGTCCTGTTCCACGCTCTGTCTCTGGTGAATCCTCTCACCCCCTGCACCCCCACA